CCTTGCCTTGGTGTAAAAACCAGTGTGAAACTCACAATAAATTGACTTAAAACAATGAATACAAGAAGCCACTGAGACGTCAACAAAATAGAGCCGAGGAAAAATAATAGCTAAAAAACAAAGGAAAACTTCACAGGTTTTTACACCGAGGTAAACCCCTATCAAGAATACTTTTTAAAATACTCTGAATCGATCTCAAGAATTGCATTCTAAACGGTGCTATGAAATTTTTTTTCCTGTTCAGTCATCCTACGGGAACTTGAGTCATTTTGAATCTACAAGGGCCTCAGTATTATTTTCCCCAAAATTTTAAATGCAATTAAGCATATTACAGAGTGAGCATTTTTCTGATTCTTCTGTATGTCCATCACATTTTGGAATCTGAAAATTTTAGGTTTCCTTTTTGTACGAAAAAATTAGGCTAACCTGGGTAGTGAAAGGTAAAGAATTGAACTTCATTTGGAAATAAGTAGAAAAGCTTCGAAAACTCTACATGAAGAGAATTACGGTTATCTAGAAAATTTTAACCAACCTCAAAACAATAGAAAATTCTAGGCAATATTGCTTCTCTGAACAGATATTTTACAGAAACAGTCGTTGGGTGTCCCTTCAAATCCCTGGACCAAAATTTAACCCCCCAAAAATCCCATGATGCAGAATTTCTGAGCCATAAAAATTTATTCGCGGAACTACATGGCCGGGATACGTGGGAAAAAAAAATCTGTACTTAAAATTATGAAACTACCCCAAAAAATACTTGCCAAAATTTTCCAACCAAAAAAATCCTGAAAACGAAAATTTCAAACTCCAAAATTCCTTTGATCGTCCCTGTCACTTGAAATCTGGAGTACCCCTTAGGGTTCCAGCCTAGTGCCCCAGTCAAGGGTTTTCTTTGAAGGACTTTACACATTTACAAACAGTGGCAGATCCAGACCTTCAGATAAGGAGCGGGTGCGATAAGCTGGGAGCCCAGTCTCAAAAAAAAATTTCAGGCCTTCGGGCCTCAGTCTGCTCTTAAAATAAGGGGGAGGTCACTGACAAGTTGGTATTCTGTCATGGTAGCTAACCCATAAATTGCGTCTGGCTTATTTTCCTGTGAAAAAGTTTGGGCTTGGGCATTGTTAATTGAAACAGGAGCCCAATAAAACACACCCGTATTGTAATCAATGCTAATTTCCCCTCTCCCTGTCCATTCTGGACCATTTGATGGGGACTTGGTTTCAAAGGTGGTAGCTCAAGAGAAACCTGGATTACAAGAATTGAGTCTGACTGCAGTGATATTATGGTGTAATCAGCAAATAAATTATGCTAAAATCAGGCTGCCACCAATCATAAAATCGATTCTTTGTCTGAGACAAAGTACTTCACCACTGATACATTTCTTGCCTGCCAAAATGAAATGTGAATTTTTAAGTCAAAATTATTATTCTTTGACTTTTGAGCAAAAGGAAAGTCTCATAGACTCTCTCAACCTCGAAAACACCCAGCTATTCTCAGGTATTTCTTTATGTAAGACCTCACTGATGATTTTTGAGGTGCATAACATAACATAACAATCAAAGGTCAAAACACTCTTGTTCCAATGCTCCAGTGTAAGTTTCACTTGACAGATTGTCAAAACATGCATGATTAGATTACAAGTGACAGAAGGTCATATACACTTGATCAGATTGCAATCTGTGTATTGCATTCATTCTTACTGGGAGTCGAAACAAAGCTACATGTACAATCGGCAACAAAATGAGTTGAGACACTTTGCCCTAGACCAGGGTTTTTTTTACATTTTACTGACTTCAAAAGGAGGAAATATAGCTTTTCCTCCCCCATCCCCTCCATGCAATGCTGTGCTGATGTTCAAACTACCTATACAAGACAACAAACACCCCAACTTTGAATGGAGGGGACAGGGGAGGGGTGCAGATTCTTTGGTTCTCTGAAGGTATCCTATTTGAGTACAATGTCTCAACAATTTTGTTGCCAATTGTAGCTACATATGTGGCGTGCATGAATAATAGTAATGTGGAGATAAGGATTGCGGGTTCCTTGTTGCCTGCAATTGAGAAAGCAGAATAATAAGCTTATTTTGAATTTAAAATTGTTGATGCTGAGTAAAATAATATATTATTGTTCATCTCATTGCCTGTAGTAATTACTCTATTTTGGTTTTTGCAGGTCACAAAGGGTGAAACTCTATCATAACATTTTGATGCTTGGCGCTTTAAAATCATTACAGGTGACAAGAAATTCAATCCAAAGACATTGATGCCTATTTTAGGGAACTATTAGTTCAACCTGGAATAGTGAAAAATAGCATACTTGATATTATAATGAGGTCATTTCAAATAATAGTTTGCTCATACAGGCAAGTTTTTGAGCTTGATGTTATTTCAGTTTTGTATTAATTGTACAGTATTATTTTGCAAACCATGCAAGTTTTTATTAATAAAATCATGGCTACTCTATGCTCACATTCATCTGAGAGTGGGTAGTGGTGAAATACTAGAGTGTAGAAACAGTGGTCAAGGTGTTCTCATGTCACAATCTCAGTTGTCTGTTGAGGAAATCCTATGGAACAATCATCCCCTTTTCTTTGTTTTTGTGCACCAGTTAGCACTCAAAGGATGGTAGTGGTTACATACTGGGGTGTAGTAACAGTTCCCAAGGGGTGCTCATTTCAAGATGTCAGTTGTCTGTTGAAAAAATCCTGTGGAGCAATCATTCCCTTTTCTTTGTTTTTGTGCGCTGGTTAAGCACTCAAAAGATGTACGAGTGGGTAGTGGTTGAATACTTGAGTGTAGTAACAGTGCACAAGGTGTTTTCATTTCATGATCTCAGTTGTCTGTTGAAGAAATCCAATGGAGCAATTATTCTGTTTTCTTTTAAATTTAATATTTTTATGTTTTGTGCGCCGGCCCTCTTCACTGCTTCCATGTTGTCTTTGCTAAATCTGCCTTATGTCAACAGTGCTAGCCTGAATTTCAGCCGCCTCTTCTGATCGCTTAAGGCTGGTTTTCACTAGCGACAGAGTCGGACTCGGAGTCATAATCAGAAGCGTAGAGCTTATGATCTAGTGAAAACAGTGTTCTGATTCCACTTACAATTCGGTCGCTTACATTCCGCTTATGATCTAGTGAAAACCAAATTGGCAGAGTCAGAAGCAGAAGCAGAAGAACCAAACCAATCACAAAGCATGGGAACATGCATTGTGATTGGTTTATCCTTCCACTACTGCTTCTGCTTCCGACTCCGACAATCTGGTTTTCACTAGATCATAAGCGGAACGTAAGCGATGGAGTCATAAGCGGAGTCAGAAGAAATGGAAACATTCTGATTCTTCTGACACCGATTCTGTCACGCTTATGACTCCGCTTACGACTCCGATTTTTGATTTTCACAAAGTGATAAGCGCTCTTACAACTCCAACTCCATCGCTAGTGAAAACCAGCCTTTAGTTGGTTAGGGAGTGATTTAGCAAGGGGAGAAGGCAGCTGAAATTCAGGCTACGGCAGTGCAAACCTGAGGGATGTAACATACAGCAAAAACTGAACTTTTCTTAATGTTATTAAATGTCATTATGGCATTAAGTCAAAGTGTTGGTAGGGTAAACCAGGCTTCTAAAGAATAAAGAGTAAAGCCTTTGCGTCATAGTTACAAACTAAAAATCACTTGCTCACAATAATGTGCCAAGCACAAATAACTGTATTTTATTAATCTCAAAACAATGCAGAAATTAAAAACTAGCATAGTTATGAAATTTTATTATGCCATCATTATAAAACCCCCTCTGAGCATTACAATACAATATAATTGTAAAACGAAGTTATGTTATCTACATCATCTTATTACCTGTTGGCAGTTCCTGTAGCTTTAAAAATTTATCTCAGTAGTTCCAGAAAAAAAAAAAAAAAGAGCAACTTGGCAAGCAAAACTATCTCTATGAAATTTCAGTCACATACACTTAAAATAGCGAGTTTCATTACCATTATGTAACAGTCACTTTGTCCACAAGCCAAGACATATTATCTTCACTTAAACCAAAAGTACACATCTTATGCAACATGCTGACAAGCAATCACTTTCCTTATCCCATGAATCTGACAATCAACTTTAAAGCTGATTTCACCTTTAATACCATAATAACTATACCACAAATTTTTGCTTTGCTTGGCAGTTAGCATGGCCCTTATTTGAACATTAATGTACAGAGCACCTATCGTGGCTTAAAACAGGGAAAGTGACAGGCAAATGTCATAATATTAGTGTCCTGAAATGGGACAGGAAAAAATCTTGTATCCTTTCATTTACCATAAAGTTAATACTTTCAAAGATCTCTTATTCAAAAATGTTTTGCCCAGTCCAGTCTGTGTATAAATTATTTGATTTCTGCCTACCTGTACCTAATGACGTGGTCTTTTGGCTTGTTCATTACTCCCAACCAATGAACATCTGAACTACACAGATGTTTACTAAGGTTCATTGTGTAAAATGCAAAAGGAGCACCTATAATTTATTGTCACGTTATATGTTAGTCAACCAACTTAATATTTTATCAAAAATATTTTTTATTGCAGACTGGACTGGACTCTTCTCAGAGTCACTCTTTATATTATAAACCTTCCTCTTCCAGAGTCATTAATAAACAATATTCATTCATTAGATGAGGTTTCTGTGATACCCAGAATGATCATCCAATACCCATATCGAGACGAGATGTATTATTCGAGATAATTGAATCACAAATACCAAATCTAATGATCTTTTTTATAATGTTAATGCTTTGAAGAAAATAGCGACATCATGCATTTCATGTGCAACCTATAGAAGTCAGTTATCTGCTAGCAGGTAACTAAGTAATCTCAAGGTTCTGCTGAGTTCCAAAACTAGCTTTAGGCTCTAAGCCATTGGTAAGACAGGCAGTGAGTACAGTGTGACAAAAAAAAAATAGCATTATCTTAACTTAATCATCTATGGACAAAATTCTACATCGTGACCATTCAAATAACTCCTCTTCACCAGACAGTACATTCATCTGGTGCTTGTCTGTCAATATTATTGGAAGATGAGATTTGGGATTTTTAAAGTTGATTTTTAGTTGCGATTGGAGTGAAAAGCATAGAATAAGCTCAGCACAGACACAATGATGTTAGGCTGATTTAGCAACAGAACGGAAACGTCATTTGACGACGGGTAAGCGCGCGGAAAGGACTAAACTCGACTTCCGGTACCCAATTTGCTGCTCTGCCATTGGTCAATCCAGTTGTTTGATATGTGCGAGCAGTCGTCAACTGACGTTGCCGTTCTGTTGCTAAATCAGCCTATTATGTATTGCTACGCCTGTCTGTAGAAAGAAATGTGAATATGATTTTAATATTCAACAGTAGTAACTTTGGTCTTCAGATATTCATTGAGTGCCTCCTCCCCTAAAATGAAAAAATATCAACACAGTTCTGTGAAATTTTTTGTGACATTTGAAGCATTCAAATAATTACCATTACAGCTAAAAGTATATTATTTTGGCAATGAATGGATAAATGAGTGAATGAATTGTAAGACAAATTTCACTTAGCTATAATTTTATGACCTAACTCTCACTATTTTTAACAGTGAGCAATACATTGTTATTAATTTTATCCATATTTTTACATCAGGGTGGAGGGAGACAGTGTGTAGTAAATTTCTTGACCATAGAGTCATAACACACATACTGCACTTGGGTTGATCAAAGTTTCCATGGCAATGTGGCCATTATGTGTATCGGACTACATGGTAGAGAAAGGACCTCATCTGAGATCAGAATGTGATTGCGTGGCCAGGGATAAACCTCGCAAGAACTTTAATCACCAAACACAATCTAAACTAACCACAAGATGACCATGCCTCAAGAGAACTGATCTGCACAGATAACACACTTTTCCTCATACACAAAGAAATGGTCGGTACAGTCATCCCACTCAATGCTTACACATAAAGAACTGTCGACCAGTACAAGACGTCTTTAGAAACACACCCGCTAAAGTGATGTATGTTTTTTTTTTATGTTGTGGTTCAATTTTATCCTTGGTTTAGATTTAATTTGTATTGGTAATAGCATGATTTGTATTTTGAAATTGCATTATGTAATTTCACGAGCCATTAGGCGAGTGAAATTTGAGACAATTTTGAAATATAACGAGTGGTATTTATGCCAAATATCACATACAAAGCATGCTATTATTTGTTTATACTTCTGCCCACAAAAGTTGTGTAATTTTCACATGTAGGTATTTCACATCAAGCTGAAATACTGTCCACTACTCTAAGCCAATCAAATTGCAGAAATTTCTCACGTAGTAGTATAACATTTTAAACACTTTTAAAAAAGAACTGAAGACACAACCAAGAATAAAATATGCATGCATGTGCAGCAAAGCCACTGCCTTAACTTTTTCTAGGTTCCATCAGTTCCATAACTGAAACCAGCCTACCTAAATCTTTTCCAAATCCAGACTGCTTAAAGCCTCCAAATGGAGCAGCTACATCAGTCTTGTTGTAGGTGTTGACAAAGCAAGTTCCTGCATCCAAACCGTCAGCTACTCTTAAAGCCTGGAAAGAAAACAACTTATCAGTGACTAGCATAACTGCCATAGCTACAATGTAGCTGAAGTGCAAGCATGAGAGTGCATAATAGCTGTTGTCAAAAATATTGTCAGTAACAATAATTATCATTCAATATTATTTTCATTATTACTTTAACAATGATGACCAAACTGGAAAAAGATTTTATAAGTTACAGGTACAGTGGAAGTTCTCATGAGCAAACAACCTTAGGGCTCAGGACATGATAAAGGTGTCTGTAACTGGAGCTGGCCACTTATGAGAATGTAAAAATACAGAGTTTGTATGGGAGTTGAGATAAACAGGATCTTGTGAAGGCAGCCATAAGTACAGCTGTTCATTTACAAGAATATATGTTGGGAGAGCTTCCACCATACATGGAATGAGTGGTAAAATAACTGAAAACAAATGGATGCTTTGAAAAAATTAAACCAAACCTTGCTTAAATCCTTTGTAAATACACCAGAAGCAAGACCATACTCTGTTCCATTAGCACTCTTCAAAACACCATCAATGTCACTGAAAAAAAAAAAGATCATTACAAATTCAATAAATTAATAATTTATATGAAATAAAAATTATAAAAGATTAGGGTATGCACTCTGGTTGGGTTTACTTTTACTTTTTGGTTTCACAGTCGACTCTCTCTTAACGGACACCTGTATAAGACGGACACCTCCCTAAAACGGACACCTAAAGTTGGTCCCTGCCTTTCTTTACTCCCTTTATTTGACTCTCTATAAGACGGACATCTCTCTAAGACGGACACTTACTGCCGGTCCGAAAGGTGTCCGTCTTAGAGGGAGTTGACTGTACATTTAATTATTTAAAAAATCATGAAACATAACCTTTTAGATACAAGGTCTGCATTACAACCAATGCTTTGCTTAACATACTTACCCATCTTCAAATTTAGAGATGATCATGATTGGACCAAACGACTCCTCTGAAGCTAAGAAAGTGCCATCTTGAACATCAGTGAAAACAGTTGGCTCAAAATAGAAACCTGTCAAATCAAGTAACATTAACCAATGATGCAGGGCTGTTGTTGAGATTTCAAGTTGTTGGGTATTAAGTAAATTAGTGCAGTGTAGATAGGGAAACGAACAGCTATGAAAGAAATTCCTTTTGCTTTTATTCTCCTTTTCTTTCTGCTGAAAGTAGTCAGGGATTATGCTCATAGCAGCTGGGGGAAATCGCCAGCCTCCTGGCCCTTAGTAGCCTGTGTACAGACCCCTCCCCCTCCCCTCCTGATTTTTACTGAGGGGATGGGGGATCTGTACTCAGGCTAGCCCTTAGTGACAGCCTTGATGAAGGAACAACACTGGATGGATACCTTGAATAGCTACCTTGTGAGGTTAAAAGGAATGTACATACATGTACATAGTTGTACATACATGTACATAGTCTGCTGCATGTTTATCACTCCACTCACCTGGTCTGTCAATTTGCTTGCCGCCATAAACTAACTTGGCTCCTTCAGCAACTCCTTTGTGAACAAACTCCAAAAGTGAATCAAGATGAGCTCTGCAGAAGTTTAATGAAAGGTAAAAGATGGCTTTATAAGAAATGTAGGTGGTATCTATATCTTATCTCTTGGGATGTAACACAAAGCTACTTGGGTGTAAGCAACACTAAAACCTAGTTGGTGTCATCATTAAAGGTCTACAACCACTGCACTCACAGACAGTTCATGGGAAAAAATAATATTTGTTTCTAGAAAAACAACTTACTTGTGATTCTGAGGTCCATGATCAGTGGAACGATCGAGAGGATCGCCAATTTTCAACTTCTTAATTTCTTCAACCTATACATCAAAATTACAAAACCAATCAATTATTATATATACTTGATAATTTCAAATAACTAGGCCAGACATGGATAAGAATAGGCAGTATATCTAGAGTACAACAAAGCAATAGCCTACCTAATTATTAATAAGTTATTTTTCGAATATCAGTAACTTGTGAGTTACTCAGACCTAAGGAGCCAGAAGCAAAAAGGGCTGCTAAATAAAGCAAAAAAGCAAACTACTTTTTTTCAGAGAGGGTGACATTTGACAGTTTCCAGAACTGAATATGATTATGTGGTCCACTAAGTGTCTTTGTCTATTAATAAACATGTATTGTAGGACATACTTTCCAGAATGTTTGTTTTGACAAGAAGGGTAAACCAGAGTACCTCTGGAACCTCTTGAAACCGGAACAAGCTCAACCCACATTATGGTATTGATACCACACCCAACCTGTTTGATTCCTGGCAGGACTTGAACCTGAACCACATTGGTGGCTGGGCGAGTGTTTTCACCACTGCACTCCAATAATCATTCTGCTTACCACTTACCACTCTGTGCACAAATTCATCATGAATTGATGCTTCAACAAAAAGTCGACCAGCAGCAATACAATTTTCTCCTTTATTGAACATACAGGCCATCATTCCCTGCCAGGTAAAAACACAAACATGGAATGAATACATTTGCTAACCCACAGGCCAGGTGATGGTCTAGGGAGACTTCCAAAATAATAGTGAGAGAAATAAAAAATAAATAAATAAATAGGAGGTGTGTGAAAAAAGCCCTACGTGACAGTGACTTTTGATAATTTGCTCAGAGATTCTCCTTTCAAATTGCCTTGTGTAAACTTTATAATCAAAAGGAGAATTTAACATTACGTCAAGAGTCACTTTCTAACAACTTATTCCATGCATCTCTTGTGGTCTTGCCTAGGCCTGTAAATTGCTGATTTTGGTCTCATTTTAGGTGGTCAGAATGAAACAACAATATATATTAATTTTTACCCATACATGTATCACTAAGTGTTGTGCTACAAGGGAAGCAGAAAATGAACAGCAGAAAGAAAGCATTAAGTGGTACATTATTATTGCAACTATTACCCTACAGCCGTAGCTCTTACAGTATTTGCCTGTTTGTGAATTACAATGGTATCTTGTAGGGGTAAAAAAAGCCTTATAAGCCACACCCAGATTGGTCTCTCCTACTTGTTAAAGTCAAGTTTTTTAAGGAACATCCCCACTTTTTTTTATATGGGATTTAACTCCACCCCCTGGGGTGGCCTTAAGAGCATGCAGTATCATGTTCTAACCTGTCTCACAGCTCTATCCATGTCACAATCATGGAAAATAATCAGTGGAGATTTGCCGCCCAGTTCCAAAGAGCACTTCTTCAAGTTGCTGACAGCACAACTGTACATAAAATGAAAAACTGGTGTCACTTTCTCACATTGATATCTCTGTCACCTTTCTTAAAGCCAAAATTTCTAGCTTAAGTTTTTCTTTGATTTGGGGGGAAAATTCCCTTGGCCTGTACATGTAGCTGAAAAAATTTTAATCATAACTGCTTTCACTTATTTCTAAGCTAAGGAAGCCACTACAAAAAAATGAAATAAAAACTTACTAATGTGAAGGATATCTGTGGCCAGTGTGGTTCCCACAATAATATTTCAGTAGTGGTAGTTGTTGATGTACCCAATTAGTCATCACTAAGAAAAACTTGAGACAAAGTAACGTAACCAAAAAATGGATGAAATTTACCTTTCCATGATAGATTTTCCAGTCTCTGTTGACCCAGTAAAACCAACTTTTCTCACATCAGGATGAGCACAGATACTGTTGCCTACAACAGACCCTGAAAAAACGGAAGACACGCAAACTTGTTACTGTTGGCTCTTGAAATTCGAATTCTTCCTAACAGAGGTTCCACACCATAAACATTTAACACAGAGACCTTAGCCCAACATTAAGCTGAGACGCAGGTTTGTGACACAACAGTATTATGTGCTGTAATATCACCCAGTGGCCTCTTATGCTTTGCTAACTTTTGGGCAAGTTGGAACACAAGAATCATATGCTGGACACCCTGGATTTCAAACCTTCAGAGCACTTTGCCTTGACAGTATAAAAATTTGAGCCTACTCACATACACTGGTCAATATAAAAACTACTAAAAAATAAAGGTCTTTGGTCAAGTAAGGGACATTTTTTTACAGCATTGAGTTTTCTAGTTTAATACCTGATCCTGGTAAGATGTTGATGACACCTTTGGGGAATCCAGCCTTAGCAGAGAGCTCAGCAAATTTGAGGGCAGTCAGAGGCGTTACCTTGAGATAAAAGGGAAATCAGATAAAAACATTCAAACACTATAAAAATAATACTTCCCACGCACCACTTACTAATAACAGTCCAATTCAATATAAGGCCAGACAACACTTTTTTAGTGTTGAAAACAACTCCTGGTTTTACTTTTACTTTTTAATTACAGTCTATACTAACAAATTATTGTACTCAAACCCTTGCTTACTCGAACATACATTTACCGTCTAAAAAATTCTAACCTCAATAACTGAAACCTGTTTTTAGTGCGTGAAAAGTCAAAAACAACAACAACAACAAAAATAGTACAATGAAGTCCAAAACATTGAATTTATTTCTTCAAATAATTTTTGAATTTATTTTTGCAATTTCCCTAGAAAGTTCGAGTTACCAGGAATTGACTGTATTCCTCACAATTTCTATCAGGCAACACCAAGTACTTGTATGACTTGCCTTAATGTGGAGAAACAAACTGTATATTGCATTTACCTGGGCTGGTTTGAGAACTACTGTATTGCCAGCAGCTAACAGAGGGGAGATCTTCCACGCCAACATCATCAGTGGATAGTTCCATGGCACAATCAGACCACACACACTACAACAAACACAATTATTCACATTACCTTAAAAAAAAAGAACTGCATATATTAAGCAAAAGTGAAAACACTTAAACCTTTTCATCTAATCCTTAACCCTTTCACTGCCAGTGTGCTTGATGGAGTTTTGTAAGACGGGCGAAATCCTATGATGTGACCATTCAAATGAAAGCTCTCTGCCTGTACTTTCACATGGCGCTATTTGTTTTTCAAAATTTCACAAAATGAAATTTGGAAATTTCGTCAAAATTTCCTTTCAGCTAAATTTGGCAGTGAAAGGGTTAAACTTACTCCCTGGGTACAGTGGCTCATCTGGGGGTAAAGGTGGGGAGGAGGGGTCCTGCCCATTCCCCCAAATACACCATCAATCTCTAAAAACTCTTTTTAGTGAACTAAATGGTTGGAAACTGGAATTTTTGCCACTGAATAATAAGTCTGCATACTTGGTTGAATTTATTGAAAGTTTATGTGTAATGATAACTTAGTGCAGAAATTAATGAATGTGCTACCATCAGTCCCACACAGCTGATGCCATCACCTGCTTAAGATCAGTCGTTAGCGGTTAAAATGTGCAATCAGGAAGTGACAAATTGTGAGACAAAAGCTATACAAAACCTATCAGTTTTAACAATGTGTGGAACCCCTGTCATAATGACTGATATTCCTGAATCTACCCATGGCCCAGGTAAAAACATTACCCTCTATTAATGTGTAATTAGTCATGCACAAAATGATAATAATGATGATGATTATGATAATAACTGTGATGATGATGATGATGATGATGATGATGCCTAAATGGAAACATTAACTAATTAAAAAATAATAAACAACTTCCTTTTTATCACAACAAAAAGTTGCCGTGAGTGGAGAAGGAAGAACAACCACTAAACAGAAAATGATACACCTTCACTGCTAAACGAAGAAAAACACATATATTTTTTGTTGAGAAAGCCAATCTTCTTATTAGAGCCCATTTTCTGGTCTTTGGTAATTTTTAATCAAATTTGAAAGGCATAACAACACGTAATTCATAAATACAGCCACACCCCTTTAATAAAGACACCAACGTGACATAATTTTAAAATTTAATACCCAAGAGTTCCGAGGAGTCATCATTTTAGGGGTACAAATAATAAATTTTTTTTTGTAACTGTGGGACCAAGTAAACTATTGGAAATAAAGACTTGATCGCCTGGAGGTGTCTGTAGACTGTAATCAGAATTTTATTTGCCCCAATGTACAAATGAACATTACTGTACCTTAAATGCTATATACTTCCTTTTTTACAAGGCAAACATGCCATGTGTGGAGAAGGAAGTGCAACCACATCAACACAGAGATCACAGCCATTCTGGCATTAGAGTGAAGCCTCAACTATGACCTTAAAAAGCAATATGGAAAAGGGCAATAGCAAATTTTCAAGGGAAAGTACTGTACCAGGGCTAAAAATCAACCCTTAAGTCTTAAGAGACCAACATAATTTTTCACGTAGTAACATCAGTACAAGGGAAATTCAAGGGAATTCAATATTCAAGGGAAATGGTTATGAGAGTTAATAAAATGATCAGGGATATGCTCTGATCTCTTATCAATTCTCTATAGTTAGCCTTTACGGAAATGTATGGAAATCAGTCTGGGGAATTTGTATATGGATATTAGGACCTGGGCAGTGCTTGGTGGCCAACTGAGGCAGTTTTTCTAGAATTCTTAGCTAGTGGCCTAGGTCAAAATAGTGACCCTTGATGTCCTGTTCACTATAACTATTGTTAAAGTGATGCAACCTCAAAACGGAGCTCAGATAACCTGGGTTGGAGTTTAGAGTCAAGTGACAAATAACATCAAAATGGCATCATCAGTGTGGATTGGTCGGACTAACACATGTACTCGTGAACTGCTTATAGAATTTTTCACTTCAAAACTTGATATTCATGAAATTTTAAAGTTGAAGAAAAGAACCCAAAAAAGTAAATAAAACTACTTCTGACAAATTGATCACTTTGTACTCCACAATATGGCAATGCTTTTGAATTGTAGTGGCACATATCAGGTGATCAAACCTCAACTTTTAGTCAGCCTGGCCTGTTTGCAGATCACACGGTCAGGTGACCAATTTTTAGCCCTGCTGTATCATATTATAACATGCTGATTACCTGTCCATAATATTGGGGATCAAGCATCAAAAGATCTAGATTTATTTAATAGATTATATAAAAGGGAATCTTTAATTTACCAGAGTAGAACAAGGCTGCTATGGTAACCTTTTAATCAAGTAGCATTGGCCATCAAGGATACGTACTGAAAAAGTCTATTAAAAATATTTCCCAGTCTCCTTAGCTGGGAATACTCTACAGGTGGATACGACCAAGAAGCATACAACTCAATACCTACCCAATAGGCACACGTTTGGTAAAGGACAGGTTTCGGTTCGGTTTGGCATTATTGATAGGAATTGTCAGCCCCTAATCAGACAAAGATCAAGACAACAAGTGAGATCAAAATCTTGCTAACAAAAATTAGCTTTAAACCCTAAATATCGTTATTAACCCTTATACTTTCCACAAGGCTGTACTCTTTACATGTAAATTTCTAATGGCACTGATTTACTCGGAGGAACTTAACATGTTTGAAACCAAGACCCTTCCACATGCTACATTGTATGTGTTTGACTAAACAGTGACATTATAAAGAAGACAAAATCACATGCTGGTCACCTGCAGCAGAGCTGACAGATAGTTAGGCAATGTTTTTAAGCATGGAGGCATGTTTTTTTTTTTTTGACAGAGAGGCTGAAATTAGCAGGATTTATAACTTCTTGTGACACATCAAAAACAACTTCCTTGATGAGCTCACAGAAGCAGGGTTGTGCTCAAGCAGTGATGACTTAATTAATTTTTGCCTCTGGGTGATCAGGAAATCTGTAGTCTTGGCACCAAAAAAATTTTAAGTACCTAGGACCCTGAATTTCATAGAGTCAGAGGCAAAGTACTGGACATACAGTGTATTTGTATTATTCGCTTGATTTAAAGCACTGTTGATGTAAGAAAAAAGTAGGCAGACTGTTTTCTTTTAATTTTACCTGAATCTTGTCAGCCCATCCTGCAAAGTATCTCATTGTGTCAATAGACATGCCAATGTGAGTCTTGAGGGCCAATGTATAAACTGCACCGGAATCCAGTGATTCTATTGTCGCCAGTTCCTCTTTGTGTTCTTCCATTAGTTCAGCCAGTCTTTGTAAGAAAAGTGGACAAAGACAGTCAAAACAAGTAACAATAAGATCAATAAACATGTATTTATGAAATAAACATAGATACAAACATATTTGTATTCTGGGTAGAATGCATTTCATTGCTCAACTCATTTGATTGAAGAGCATTGACTATAACTTCACAAGTCCATCACTAAAGTTGCCTGTTGAGGGTGGTCCTGAAATTATTTCAGACCATACGGAACAGCACTGTCGTAATAAATGATGATACTTCTCAAGCCTGAACTCCGCTGAAGTTATAGTTTCATACATACAAACATTTTTTACTTTTAACATGCCCGCGGGTAGCTATGCTAATCTAGGCAGGTCATGTTTTCAGGAAATAAATACACAAATGCGAGAATGTAGAGCACTAGCAGAAGTATCTGTCCTGGATGAGAGCTTGGAAGGTAAGCTACCGCTACAATCCTGTGGGTTAAATACTACTATTCTGCTATAAAGCTTACTTGTACATAAGGTGACCACGATCTCTAGCATTCATGGTTCCCCAAGGCCCATTATAGAAGGCTTCCTACAAAGATACAACAAACACAACACAGTTAAACCTCTTCATATAGACTCTATATGCAAAGACACCTCTGTTTTATGAAGAGCTCTTTTGGTTGCACAGATAATACACCTCAAACATTACAAACCCTATCTCTATCATGTGGACAGCTCTGTAATGCAGACCATTAACTTTGTTCCATTTTGGTGCAAAACTTAAACAGGTAAAATCACTAGATATTACTCTCTGCTGATGTGGAAAAATGACAGTCTGTAGGTATTTGCTAGGATCTCAAGTAATCAGTAACATATACCAAAATTAATATGACCACATTGCACAACAATTCAACAACAGTTATTTAAAAACTACAATGTAATAGAATATCCAACCTTTGCAGCAGCAACAGCTTTGTCTACATCCTCAGTGGAGGCAAAGGAAACTTTTGTAATAACCTAGAAAACAAATATCCATCTAAAATAAATTGCCTTGCATTTTGTTGTCAAACAAAGAGAGGAGGCAACATTAACCAAAAGGTGATAAGGTCCTTATTATTTTTACTCAAACCTTTAACTAGCAACATGAGCACAAATATTTAAGTAAGTCTACAAAAATACCAAAACACAAAACTCCAGTAATTATTAGATATTGTTTATCAACATGAATTTATGCATGTACTTACTGAGCCATCGTTTGGGTTAATGGCATCAAATGTGCGGCCAGTGGAGGAATCCACAAATTCACCATCAATGAACAGTTGGTGGGGCATGTGAACTGTCATGTTATTCACTTCCACGTCAAACTGAAAGTAAAATAAGGATTATTGTTATGTCACAGATCGTGTAAAAGCTGTAAAAAACACCAAACAAATTTAAAAAAAAGATGTGGCACTGTAATCTCAAGAATATACAGAAACACAAGAATGCGTTTTCATGGAGCAGGGGATGCCAAGTGGTGAGTTATATATTGGCAAAAATACCAGAATAATTTTTCTAAAATAATTTTGAATTGTGATAAGTTATGGCAAATAATTTACTGAAAAATTGTCCAACACAACAATCCTGCAAACCCTAATATCCCTCAGTATAGAATTGGCACCCTCAAGTAACGAAAACAAACTTAAGGCATACTCATCAAACAAGATGCTAAATATGAACATTTGTACATTGTTTTTCTTTTTTTACAAAATCTTTCACAACCATTCCTTTATTTAATCGTTTGATATGGGAGTCTTAGATGGGCATTGAGTAACATTCTCCACATGCAAACTTCACTTCAGAATCAGTATGTACGTAATTTTAACCTTTACTGCCAAAGTTTTAGTTTTTAAAGTACTTACAGTGTTACAAGTGAACTCTTGATGGCCTCCACCACGAGAATGCAAGACAGCCAAGCGAACAAAATCTCCATACCTGGAATCAAAAACAACAAATGGGACTGAGATTTTTCAATGTCATGTTTTCATGATAAAAAAATTACTGAGACAGGAGCATTTTCACCAGGGCATGCACGTTGGGGTACGCTGATCCCAGTATCTAGGAAGAAAACGAAAAATAACAATTTGTGTAGAAAATGCTAATGAAAATAGTACCTTGTATTCATGTAAATATCGTCAGTCTCCAGAGTGACTGAGCATGCATCCTTGACTTCTTCAACAAGCCTACAAATAAACATTACACTGTTATCAGAAAGTATGACACCGGTAATAACAAAAAGGGACATTCATAAGATGTAGTTTCATTAGAAACAATTTCTAAAAACCAATAATTTCATTCCAAACACAAAAGGCAAGGTTTTCACCAACTGGGATAAAGTCCCTGACTTTATCAGTCCTTAAAGATAATAGAATGCATAATCGTAAAGTGTAACAATTCAAATAAAACCTAATTAACAGTGCTTTCTCATGTCTAAAAGTTTTCATGAAATGTGATTTAGGGCATTATCTTGGACTAATTAAAAGGCTTCATTAATGGGCAGGGAAAAGAGGTAGGTGAAGATAGTAGAAGAAGTACTTGGTTGTATAGTGAATGTGCAAGTGTCTTCCTTTTTCCCATTTCCTGTCACGGCTGTGTGGGATGAATGAAATGTACTGTCGTGGATTAGAGGACAACAGAGACGTACCCTCTTTACATTATATTTAACATGTTAACAGTAAGCTTGGACGTCAGCATACGAGAAGAAGCATGAAGAAGCCTTGGCCCAGAAAGACCCCAGGCCAGTGCAAACTGAAACCAGTGTATATTAAAGAGAGAAGAGTACAGTAAGCAGGACATGTACCTGGTAACATCCATAGACCCAGCACCAGCTTTAAAGAAGTCAGTATCTTCTAGCACATCAGGGTTTGCTAAAATTCCAGCCCAAATTTCCTGCCATAAGAAAACAAATTGGTTGATGATAACCTGAACCTTTTGTTGGGAAAGAGGTTAAGGAACACTAATACGCTGAAAAATCCAAGATGTACAAAAGTTAGCAATGTGCCAATCACTGATTACATTCAAAACTGATTGATGG